TAGGTGAATGTCCAATTTAAAATTTTTAAGTTCTTAGACCACATTCATTCTGTGTCAGAAACCTATGCTGTGTCAAATATTTAATCACAATCCAAATTCAGAGCTGTATCAAGCTTGAATGTTGTGTCCATACTTGCCCCAACTGTTCAGGGTTCGACCTCTGCGGTCGTATCAAGCTGCGCCCTGCGGAGCATTTTATTGGTTTTTGGGCCCCGTTTTCAAATTGGTCCACATTGAGGTCCAAAGGGTCCAAAATTAAATTTTGTTTGATTTCATCAAAAATTGAATTATTGGGGTTCTTTGATATGCCGAATCTAACCGTGTATTTAGATTCTTAATTTTTGGTTCCATTTTCAAATTAGTCTACATTAAGGTCCAAAGGGTCCTAAATTAAACTAAGTTTGATTTTAACAAAAATTGAATTCTTAGGGTTCTTTGATATGCTGAATCTAAACATGTATTTAGATTTTTGATTATGGGCCCAGTTTTCAAGTTGGTCAAAATCGGGGTCCAAAATTAAACTTTGTTTGATTTCAACAAAAAATGAATATATGGGGTTATTTGATATGCTGAATCTAACCATGTATTTAGATTTTTGATTTTTGGGCCCCGTTATCAACTTTGTCCACATTGAGGTCGAAAGGGTCCAAAATTAAACTTTGTTTGATTTCATCAAAAATTGAATTCTTTGGGTTCTTTGATATGCTGAATCTAACCATGTATTTAGATTTTGGATATTGGACCATAATAGGTGAATGTCCAATTTAAAATTTTTCAGAACTGTATCAAGCTTGAATGTTGTGTCCATACTTGCCCCAACTGTTCAGGGTTCGACCTCTGCGGTTGTATCAAGCTGCGCCCTGCGGAGCATTTTATTTTACTTTATACGTTTTCAAGACAGAATAGTCAACTCAAACATGCCCAAACATAAAATAACTTTCTCTTTTCGATGAAATTATTGCCCATGTTTAGGATTTTTTCCCAAAAAACTGTCGCCGGGGACAGAGATGCTAGTAAATGCTTTAAAAAGATCAATCTATTATCTTTCTGTGGAATTTTTTTCAGCTGAATTTATGCTTATGCACAAAAAAGATCCACTTGTATTTGCACCTACCACAATCAACTGTTTTATGAAAATTTGTCTATAATTTAAAAGTTTACAATATCTCGAAGCTCCATACTATAATTTAAGTAAAAACACGTATATAAGATGCATAAAATCCTAAATTATACACCTTTATTAAACTTTTAAAGCCCATAGAAACAGATGGAAACAATTTAAATATACCAATTTGACTTTTTTACCTTCTCTAACAAAGAGTTCCATTTCTTTTGTTTAATTTCAACTGGGTAAAGGTAAATCCAGGTACTTGTTGTGCTCACTGAGATCTGTGTCATGAATATGTTTATATTGATAATCAGCATTATCAGTGATATTGCTTTGCTATGTTTTTGAGATCATCATTACTGTAAATTCAGAAATTATTGCGATTTTGTCATTTTAGACTAAAATGCGATTTTAATTTTTGCGATATTGAGAAAAATCCTGTTTAACTCATATAGAAAATTTCAAAATGCGAGTTTTAATTATTGTGATTATAACCTGGTCGCATTTTTCGCAATAATAAAAACATCGCAATAATTTCTGAGTTTACAGTATTAGTGATATTACTTTGCTTAATTCTTTATAATCAGCATAATATACAATTATGGCCCGTTTAAAAAGGTGAATATTCAAAATTGTCAACCCTAAAAGGTTATTTCCCTGAGGGCACAGCCCGAAGTGAAATAACTTTTCAGGGTTGACAATTTTGGATATTCATCGCTTCAATACTGAACTAACAGTGGAAGGGCTATCTCCTGCACTAGATGATTTTCCAAGCCTTGTTAAATGATTCCTCGTCACTCGATGAACTTCTTTGACCATTGACATTTTGTTTACTAACATATGTGACGTCATTTTGAAAGGAGATAACTCTTGTGTAAATCAAGACACTCAAAAGGTTATTCACAGGTGAATAATAGGGTTATTCACTGCTCTGTGTAAATTTTAAGGGTTATTTGTCCTTTCTTGCATTTAAATGAAAATTATCTGAATTATTCCATTATTATTCCATGTCACATGATGTGTTACCCAATAAGAATTGTTTATTATAAATGTAAGGTATAATAATCAGTGATATTACTCTGCTTAGTTCTTGATAATCAGCATTTTCGTCCTTCCCTTTGCCTATATCACCCTGCTCAATCTCTCTGTAATTCTAGTAACACGGCTTTGAGACGTGAGCATACAATGGCAGCATCATCACAATGTCTGAAGAGAAGTTATCAGTGATGTCACAATTTTTTAGGAGACGTTATCATGCGTACATTCGTCAAGCGTAAAACTGTGAGGAGGAAAATACCAGTAAAGGAACGATAAACAGATTATCGGATTTTCTATGTATAGATATAATATATCAGCTGCTCGACACTATGTGAAGTTTTTTTGCTCGTTTGCTACGCTCACTCACCAAAAAGGTTCACATTGTGTGTTTTCTAATTAATCCTATATTGTGTCCTTGTACAGAAGTGATGATTCTCGGTTAGATATATTGGATCAAGGCATAGCATTAGAAGGGAGATAACTGTATTGTATTTTATCCTAAAATCAAATTGTGGACCTCCATAAATATTTAAGGACATCCTGAAGTTGAATTATGTAGTTCCTGAAATTTAATTTTGGAGTGCCTGAAATCTTCAATAATGGAGGTCCTTAAATCGAATTATGGAGGTCCTGAAACATTTTAGGAAATCCTCAATGATTTATGTACCAGTATATCTTAATTAAAATTAAAGAACCTTTGTGAGCATGCTCACATACCCCCCGCCCCCACATTGTCACTGGGGGAAAAAGTATCACCAAATTCCTAAGTTCAAAGACTCATAACTGCTACAAAAGTCAGTTGATAAAAATTTCCTGTCAATATGCACATCTACATAGTATATCCTAATTATCTACAAAGTTTCATGAAATTCTGTTGTGTGTATTCAGAGAAGTTGCGATGACACACTGTTGCAATAGTACATTAAGGCCAAACATCTATGTTCAAATGGGCATAACTTCTAGAATAAAATTGAATCATAATTTCCTCTCAATATGCGCATCTACATAGTATGTCCTTGTTATCTACAAAGTTTCATGAAATTCTGTTGTGTGGTTTCAAAGGAGTTGTGATGACAAGAACAGGACTGAGGGATGGACAGATGGACGGACGGGTCAAAAACATAATACCCTACAGAACTTTGTTCTGTGGGGTATAATTATGGAGGTCCTGGATTAAGTTTGCTGTATTTTAAAATAACTGATGTCATTTGGTATTGTTTTTCGTTATTGACAAATATTAATTCACCCATTTACACTGTAAAACAACTAAATGTTTCATTTTATTTTACTTTTCTGTATTGAAATTCTGCACACACAAAATTATTTTGGGCACTGCAAAAGATCAAAATTCTTTCCTACACTGTTCATGACATTGTTGTATGAAATTGCTTAGAAGTACAGTGGCTGATATTTTGAAATATAAGAAGGAATGATTTCTACATCAAAGGATTAAGTACCACATGCATAACTTTGATACAGTATAATTATTAAGAAACATTTTCTTGAAAATGTGTTTCAGTCGTACGTTATATAAACATTGTTGTGACAAGCGTCTTTGTAGTATGTCACACTCTAATTCACCCTGATTCCAGTCTTTGATTCACTGTATTTTATTGTTGTTTTGTTTACCCTATATCTCCTTTCATTCATAACTGATATACATTTTTAATGACTTTTTATTCTTTTTTTCTTCAGATTGTTTGGAGATTTATATGTATTGTAAAAGTTTTTTTTTCACACTGTAAATGAATTTATGGAAAGCATAATTCTGCTATCAATATCAATTTTTTAATGGTCATGAACACTAAGAAGGATTGACAATTACTGGCATGGGTACGGACATGCTCATTTACAGAACATACATATTTCTAATACTTTTTATGCCCCTGCTGCTAGGTGAAGTGGTAGATTAAGGTTTATCTTTGTCCTTTTGTACGTCCCGAAATTGGTTTCCGTTCTGTGACTTGAGCTCCTTTTTACCACCAAACACAGATCAATATAAATTAGAAGATGTGGTATAAGTGCCAATGAGACAACTCTCCATCCAAGTCACAATGTGTAAAAAGTAAACAATTATAGGTCAAAGTACGGCCTTCAACATGGAGCCTTGGCTCACAGAACAGCAAGCTATAAAGGGCCCCAAAATGACTAGTGTAAAACAATTCAAACAGGAAAACCATCGGTCTAATCTATATAAACTACGAGAAACACTTATGAACCACATCAACAAATGACAACCACTGAACAACAGGCTCCTGACTTAGGACAGGTGCATACAGATGTAGCAGGTTTAAACGTTTCAACAGACGCCAATCTTCACCCTAACCTGAAACAGTAGTGTAAAGTTCATATTTGGGTGGTGTCACTTCCACTGTTCTCGATTTATGTCCCTTTATAAATAAAAAAATTGGTTAATTTGCCATTTCTCCACTCTAACTTTACTTTGCCACATACAAATGTTATGTAGAATTGTCAGTTTTCCTACCACAGGTTGGAGGTTCTCTCAGACATTTACAGACCATCCGACCTGCCAACTTTCACGATTTATGGGGGATTTTATGCTCCTCTTATATTGTCATAAGTGTTTTTAATCTATATATTGGTTGAATGAGTATGTATGTGCTTAAATATCCTTTTAACTCCCTTGAATACCTGCTTTGAAGTGTTCTGTTTATATAATAAAGAATTTCAAAATTCAGATCAAAACCTCTCATGGGGGAAATCCCCATGGAGATTTTGAAAAGTTGGCAGGTATGACAGACCATTATATTCCTACTATTCTTTCATTTGGAATATAATCTAAAAGAGAACTCAAAAATGGTGTGATAAGCTCACATCAAATAGATATTTCATGTAGAATTTTACATGTTTTATTAGAAGTTATAAATCACAAAAACAATTAAAAGCTATAGTAACAAAAATCATTAAAAAAAAAGGACAAAAATATTCTCATCTGATTATTTTCTAAATAGCATACATTATCAGTATGTATGGCACATATTAATACAAAGCAGTACTCATTTAGGATTGGTTAAGAGCTAAAAAGGTACTGACAATTCTCTAGTATCATCACATAATGCTTACTAAATGAATTAGGTTCTGACTGATTGTGATATTAAAAGATAACAACCCTTTAAACCATGTTCCTCCCTGATATCATTCTAGACTTTACTAATTATTGAAATATTGATTAGACAATAAGTGATTTTGCTGTTGAGTTCTATAACTTATAAAGAATGACCAAGAGAGTCTGAGTGTTCTACCATTGAGTTTTATACTCTATGAGTAATGACTATACAAAAGTTCAATTTGGTGAAGAAATATATCAACATATTGTACAGATTTATATCTTGTACCTTTGACTGTTGAGTGTGTCTTATGCTTTGTGATTTTACCTTTTATCTATGGTATATAAATTTTAATCTTAATTTAGGTTTCAGATGATGAAAATTTGAAAATTATAGGTACAGGTTTGTAGACAAATGTCACACAAAAGCAATAGCTCACAATTTTCCTTTGACAAAATTGACATATAGCAATCCTTGTGTCGACCAAGCTAAACTGATGTTTAACTTCAAAATTATGAACATAGTATTTTTCAACGGTATTTCTTGTAAACATAACTATTTTACCGGGATAACATGATTTTCTTGTCTGATATCATTTGCACTTTGTCATTTTATTTCCCCTTCAAATTAGCTAGTGCAGGAATTATTTCACAAAAAATGTCAATGCCTTTGAGGAAAATGTTTTCATTGAGGAATTCATTGTGATCGTGAAGTAAGATTGGCGTATTATTCATTGGTGAGAAACCAAATGCTGGAATTCCAAGCTGAAAAAAGTAAAAAAATATATCACTGTACAGTTTAGGTATCAAAGACATTTAAAATAATGTGAGTTCAGAATTAAATGTGTTCATTTCAAATTGTGAATCATTGACAATCAACAATGACAAATTAATGTGATGCTTGCAGGTGTTTTTGGTATATTACCAGTAATAATTTAATGTGATTTGGTTGACGCTACAAAACAAAGTTGGTTTCCTTACAATAACTTATGACTTCCTTGACCAAACCATAAGAAAGATTGAATGTTGTTAAGATCTAATAAACACAAAAGTTTGAATTTTAAATATTTAAGATTTGCAAATCCTGGTTTTTGTCCATGATAGAAAGCATGGCTTGTAAGAGACAGCATTAGGAATAGAAAATAACAAATATATTAATCTTCAAGGTTTACTTACAAAATCCATGTACATTTGATTAAGATTTCATCTTTCCTTTTGATAAATGAGCTAAAAGTCATTTCTTATTTCTATCAGATTAACACAACAGGAATTTCATTTTGATGTCAATATCTTCTGTAATCTTGTGCAAGTTCATTCACAACATGTTTGGACTTGTATTATTTAAAGCTTGATTTAAAGACCATTAAATGACCACTAAAGATCTTATTTTTAAGTTATTTTGCTTTTACAATCCTTGCCTTTTTGGGTAAGTACTTTTCTTTCATATAAGGACCACTTAATGCCTATTTTTAGTAATTTTGCTGTTACGCTGCTGTCTCCTGACCTATATCATATTTCTTTTATTCATATTTTCTGTTCTAGTACATCACAAATCTGTGCTTTTCTTGTATAGTTTTTGTATCCAACAAAAAACCTCTCATTTAGGTGTGTATTTTATTGACTAATATAAATAATACCTCTCTGAAGAATCTACTATCAGTAGCTGCTGGAAAGATCTCTGCTTCTAATGTCATCCCTCTACAAGTAAAACAAAATTCATTCAATAAATGAACTATTCTAAACAGCTATACAAATACTTTTTTATTCAAACAAATAATTATCAAGAAAGAATCAAATAAATGCATTAGACATGTACAACTATACATGGTTGTTTTCACTGAGTGTTTTATTTTACATTATAAAATTACTGTAGTATATGTACCTTAGTGGCAATGGCTATCATAAATGTATGCTAAAACGCCTCCATTTCCTCTTTCCAAGACTAGTCCAAAGATGTTTACATTGACTATACAGAATGAATACATCCAGAGGATTCTAACAATGTAGGAATTTGGTGTTTTAAAAGGTGTTCCCTTTATGTTGCAGTGTTCCTTTAGTGTGGAAATGTGTTTTGATGTTGATGTATGAATTGTTCTCTCTCTTTTCAGTGTACTTTGGAATTGAAATTTTATTTTAAACCAAATGAAACTTTTACCTCAATAAAAAAATTATCTAAATAGATGAAATTACATGTATCAACTCACAAAACTGTGTGTGATGTTGTATTTATTCAATATCAATAATATATTTTCAATCTGTTCAATATAAACACTGATTTAATCAAAAAGTTGATTTCTGACAAAATTGTTAGTATTGTATTAGTATTGCTGTGTATTTTGACTTTGATATTTTCATAGCCTTCCTTTTTTTGAAGTGATTTTTACTTTTATGCTTTAAAGAGTGTACATTTTATATTGCAGTGTACTTGGCCCTTGATATATTAAAAGGTGTTTCTTTTATGTTTCTGTTTACTTTGGCTTTGATTCTTTAATAGGTGTGAAGTTAGACCCTTTGTGCATGCATATTCAGGAGGGTACATATCTATCAGATTATCAAGTAGTCAGTAGCTCCTGCAAAAGGGGGGGGGGGGGGGGGGGGGGGGGTCAATGAGAAGAAAGGTAAAAGAAATTGAACTATCACTGGAAAAAGGATATGTTTGTAAGGAGTAGAAATTTTGCATAATAACAGATAACATTAGGACTTTTCAAAGAGTTATTGTAAGGGGCCTCTTTTGCACAAAAAGTAAACACTTTCATTACACATGGCTTTGCATTCAAAGCACCTATTCCGATTTAACATGGATGCATATTTATTAATCAACCACAATGTGTCATTTATTACAAGCAGTTTGTGGTGTGCAGTAATATACAGTTATAATGATTATACAATATAAATACATGTATACATAATAAATGAATTTGGTAATTGTCATTATTTGCAGGGAATATACATATTTATCTGCTAATTTCCGGGGCTTATTTTGAACCACATGGACATTAATTGAATACTCGTTTATTGAATTCATTTGACTGATTTTCAGTTTTTATTCTGGACAAAATTTTATTAAATACAAAATTATAAATATCAGATTCTTTCTTCATTTATCAGAAGGAAAAAAATCAGGAGAAAACAGAACAAATGCGAATTCGACCAATACATGAATAATACACAATTGAAAAATGAAAAACGTTTTTACATGGTTTTTCGAGCAAAATTTTTTATTTTATCTTGAAATTAATTAAAATACAAAAAACAATTGTTTTTGTGCTTAGGTTTACGTATTAACTCATGGATTTGACAAATATATTTGGACATTTTATTTGAAAATCATCCTTTTTCAGCATCTTACTATGCAGCAACTGATGGAGACTATAAAATTGATCTTTTACAATATCTAAAATTGCTAAACGGAAGCTGAAATTGTACCATGTGACCTGAAAAGTTTTACACACTGCATGTAGGCTATTGTCCCTACTCTAGGAAGCAGTATTAAAAGAGCCTTTGGATACATCTTGATAGGTTATTTACATTGGACAGCCTAAACAGATGAAAGTCAAAGAACAGTACAAAGTAAAGTCACACTTTGTAAAGGACCATGTCTAAGAGAGTTGTTTAAAACTATTTCTTAAAGTTACATAATAAAACTTACTATGAATCCAATGACTTCTGGAAAGTCATTTTAAAAATTTTTAAAAAAAGTTGTTTACTAACAACAATTCTAATATGACGTGCTTCTTTCGCTTTGTAAACAACACCGTGATAACATTCTTGATATATCTATACTTAGCGCAGACTCAGAGATATACATAATAATGGAGGTTACAATTTACCTCCCTCATAAATCCACATGTATTGAAACCTATTTGCAAATGCTATGCCGATTTTATTGTTTTAAAAATTGCAATTGAAAAAAAACTACAGAACTTTTATTCTTTTTGGATGCATAACAAAAAAAATTAATGCACAAGAGCTCGGAGAAATCTACAAAATCAAAATAAAATAAAATTCTGCGAAAGTCCATTAATGCTTTTGGCACATTTAAGTCATTTCAAAACATGACGTCATACAAATGAAAACGCTAAAGCTGAAGGTTTTTCCCTTACATGAACCATCGAAATTCGTATATTTTTACATTAAAATGGATTTTTGAGGTAGGTGTTGTTTTATTTTCTATTTTATTGCATTATTCGCATATTTACTGATTTCAGCAAGTCAACATAGTTAGTTTAGTTACGAAATGTCAACTTTGGATTTGACGGTAGCTTACTAGAAAAACATGTAGATAAAAAATGGCAAATGTTGGGTTTGAGAATTAAAAGAATTAAGCACATTTTTTCTAGCGATTGTTTACGAAATAATTCATGCAAGCTACAGATTTATTAGAATGTTTTAGCTTTATCTAACAGGGAGTTAAAAAGAACAGCCACACACACGGCATACCCACCCTCGCTTCAGTTTTTTAATGACCGTGATATCAAAATGCTCAGGAAACATTTACAATAATCAACATATGCATGATATATTTGCCACTAACCATTAAGAATCAAGCCGATCGAAAATTATAAACATATCAATATTGTTATTTTTATGGAAATAAATGACATCAGATGTGCTGTCCATATGTATATATTTGTGATGAAGATATCCCATTTTAAATACCAGTTAATTAAGGATGTATTCTTCTGAAGGTACAGTCTTGTTTAAATCTCGTTCAGGAATTATTTCCAAAACATGTGATACAAGTGGAAAATATCAATGAATTTTAAAAATATTATAATCAAACTAAACTCTGTGAAAAAAAGTGTGTTCTTACAATAAGTATTTTTTGAGAAATAAAATTTTCAAATTTATAACCAATCCGGTCAGTCTCATCAGCCAAAATGTTGAGAAAATGGGTGAGCAGTACAAAGAAATGATTGAAACAAAAATATGTACATCCCATATCAATTTTTTTCTTTTCAAAATTCTTAGATATGTATTTTCCAATCATTTATAACAAAGAAGTTGAAATAATATGCTTTTTGTTCTAAAAATAAGAGAAAAATCCCAAATAAACAAAATTGACAGCATGGTCAATTTGACACGAAAAAGAAACAAAATTTTATAAAACTTTCTAATATTAACACCAACCTATAGTTTTTTAAGGTAAATTTATTCAGATTAGTCCACTTCATCTTAAGTGAAAGTATGAACAAAAGTTTAATTGTGAAACTGTGATTTTTTTCATGATAATAGCCCAAAAATGGATAAAAATTGATGAAAAATGGGAAAATCATTAAAATTGGGTACTTTCAAATGGCCGTAGCAAAAAAAGAAGAGCACCACCATATGATTTTTTCTTCATCAATTACTTTCTTACAGTCATATAAACCCAAAAATCAGGTTGAGAAAAAAAGTTTAATTCTAGAAATTTTTGGCTCCTCAGAGGTGTACATCATTAAGAACACTAGAAAAAAACGGCGCAAGCGTGGTTTGAAGACTACTTGAAATGTTTATGGTGATGTACAGCTTGGGTTCGTGTTTCTCAAACTGTTTTTATGCACTGATGCATTATGTTGATAGTTTTTATTAGTTTGTCAGTTCTTCTTCCATAGGAGTTTGAATGTCCAATTAGTAGCTTGTCTTGGTGTTACACAGGTGCTCCTAGAACGGAGGGAATAACTCACAGAAGAAGAAGACAACCTAGAACACTGATGATTAAAACATTTCTCAGTGGTGCTAGTTTGTAGTATTTTTTTTTTTTTTTTCGAAAGGTGCGAGTCAAGTTCTTTCTCTGTGTGATACGGTTGCTCCAATAATGGAGGAAATAACTCAGAGAAGAAGAAGACAATCTAGAACTCTCTGATGATTTAAAACATTTCTTCAGTGGTGCGAGTTTGTAGTATTTTTTTTTTCGAGTGGTGCAAGTTCTGTCTCTGTGTGACACGGGTGCTCCGAGAAAGGAGGAATTTACTAAGAGAAGAAGAAAACAATCTAATGATTAAACACATTTCTTCGAGTTTGTTATATTTCTTTTTTTTTTGAGTGGGGCGAGTTTGATAAAGTGATGCAAGTTGTAATAATTATTGAGAGTGTGTGAGTGGTGCGAATTGGCTGTGGGCCCAGTTGTCGGGCAGTAAGTCGACTGAGCATGCACGGATCGATAACGGTCTCCAAATTTGGATATTTTCTCAAAAATTGGCGTTTTCTGTGGAAAAAAGATTGTTTCAAAGACAAATTTAGGAAGTACAAAACACAACATTTATACGTCATATCACAAATATTTCCGACTTTGTATGGTTTCAGAGGAGTTGCGGCTCAATGAAATCGGTCTCTTCCTTTAGTAGTATAGATATTGTGAAATAATGCTTTCAGCAAGTTTTTTTACTCACAATTGTTTACAAGTTGTTTCAAAACAATTCCACCATGGATCAGAGGGATCAGTTGATGTTAATGACTGAATTTCACATTTCTGAAAAAACAATAAAACTTATATGATAAATAATAGTTTAAATCATTTAGTTTATATTTCAAAGACTTATGATGTTTGTTGGTTGAACAAGGAAACAATACAGAATTGAATCCACTATTTATATTACATTTCATATAAATGACTCGTAAATCTTCCTTCAGGCATGATTAATTGAACTTTAGAAGTACTAAATACAACAGTCTGTCATTCTTTATCAGCAAAAAAAAGCCAAATTTGACTCAATTTCAATTACAATATAGCAACAATACCAGCCAATTCACCGTAAAAGCCAATAACAATCAAATAAGATAAAGGAGAAAAATTATAAAAATAACAATATATTCAGAATCATCAGGCATACTGCATGGTATCAATCCACAGACAGCAGTAGATCTAATTCAGTCTAGGTATATCCTATTTATCTCCCACCAACACTGATAAGTGGTTATATCCTTTTGTATTTATAGGCATTAGCTTCCTTGTTTAAAATATTTTGGACACATCTTGTATTCAATCAATGTAAAATATATTCTTTTGTTGTACATTTCTAGATTTACCATCAACAGGCAATCTCAAAGTCAAAAGTTGGGAAATATGTGTAAAAATATAAAAGGACAGAGTTCCAATGTCCCCAGTGTTGCACATATTTTATATTTCCAAGTGGCATAACTCTTTTAAAAAAATTCGATCGTCCACCATTATAGAACTTGTCCGAGATATTGCTGATATTAACCAATAGTATAAGTTTTATAAAAATCTGGCAAGAATTGTACCCATGAGAGTGCTAACGATGCCATTTTCCATAAATTTAATATTTCCAAGGGGCATAATTCTTTTAAAAAAGTCAATCGGCCACCATTATAGAACTTGTCTGAGATATTGCTGATATTAACCTGTAGTATAAGTTTTATAAAAATCTGGCAAGAGTTTAACCCCTGAGAGCGCTAACGAGGCCTTTTTCCATAAATTTAATATTTCCAAGGGGCATAATTCTTTTAAAAAAAGTCGATCATCCACCATTATAAAACTTGTCCAAGATATTGCTGATATTAACCTATAGTATAAGTTTTGTAAAAATCTGGCAAGAATTGTACCCGTGAGAGCGCTAACGAGACCATTTTCCATAAATTTAATATTTCCATGGGACATAACTCTTTTAAAAAAAGTCGATCGGCCAACATTACAGAATTTGTCTGAGATATTGCTGATATTAACCTATATTATAAGTTTTATAAAAACCTGGCAAGAATTGTACCTGTGAGAGCTCTAACAAGACTGGACGGACACACAGACGGATGCCCGGTATTTCCATGTCCCCCGCAACGTGTTACACGGGGGACAATAAAGACCTGCTGTTAATTATGAATTGCTTGCATTGCTTTTTTTATTGAGAAAATTGCAATGGGATAATTTTTTGGTCAGAGACATCTGTTAAAGCATAAAACAATCTGAAGATGAAAAAACAAAAACCTGCCGTTGCCAAAACAAAGAAAAATTGACTGGAAGTGGTCATAAAGCTAGTAGTAGTTTTTCAAAACACTATATATTTGGTGTATTCAAGGAACATTAGACTTTCATTATGAACACCTAGGTAAAAGATAATAAATTCCACACCAACAGATTTTTTTCTTCCAATTTGAGAAAAAATATTAATTTACACGGTACCTCCATGATAAGCATTAATCGTAATTTTTTTTATAAATGCTTTAAAAAAGTATCTGCTTTCAAAAGTAACTTACTAAAGGTTAAAGTTTACTAACATATGATCTTCTTTCATTTGGGTTTCTATGCAAGAAAGAAAATCGATATACCTTATACATAAAAATTAATTTAAGATATTTAATTACAAGTTGTTTTTTTTTTAAATAAGGATTTCACATATATGTGCATATTATCCTTACATCACAAAATCAGTAACTTAAATTGTGGCTAAAATAGGTTCTTATAAAAGTAAATGTAAACAAAATTGAATTTGCACAGTGTAAATGACTTTGCACATGTTGATCCCCAAAACATAAGCAAAATAATAGAATTCCACATTAAAAATATAATCCTAAAGCACCTGCATTAAAGATTTTCTTTTCTTAAAAATCTTTACCTTTTAAATTAAAGGTAGAGAAAAGAAATAAAACAGACCTGTTTGAACTCATATTTCACATCATCCCCAGCATCTGCACACCACTTCTTAATCTTGTCTTCAAATTCTTTGAAGTCGACAGTTGGGGTTATTCTTATGTCAAAACCTGGAGATATTATTTTAAAACATTTAACAGAATACCTAGTAGAAATATATGCTTTCTGAATGAATCAATAATGTAATTTCTGGAATAAACATTCTTATTTTGGATTCTGTAACACTTGACCTACTGACATCCTACAACAATGTTTTGCATTATGACGTAAGCTATTTTTTTTGTGACATCAAAATTCTTTTATATCCAGTAATGGCAAACAAATAGCAATAATGTTTATAGATGAATAGGGAAATATGATGTATATTGAGAATATTATATGGCTTTTCAATATCACATCTGTATCATCCTGATACATCAATATAATCCAAAGAGCTCTGATAAAGGAATTATATTGGTTGAAGGTTGATACAGTGTGTGAAATTGAAAATGTCCTATTGTATACATTTTATTACATACCTAAAATAGATGTTTTAAATGTGAGATGACGTAATACAGAATAGAGTTTGATAAGGTCTTTGTAACCGTTACTGATATTGATATCAACACCGATGGCTGGTACAGAATGAGAACCATTGATTGTTTTAAAAAAATGTATCTGTATTTACAATGACTGCTAAATATATCATCATTTACATCCCTACTTGAAGTGAAAGCTTAGTCCTCCTTCAAGTCTACTGCTCTACAGAGGTAATTGAGATCATTACTAAATCATCTACCCATGGGCAACAAAGTATTTACACCTATTGTTACCTTTGAGCATGTTATTAAACATATTCAATGCAAACTAATACAAACTAACACAGTGTTTTCCCTAGGCTATTCAAGCATTGCGGTACCGCTACGCATAAATTTCGACCGCCATGCTTTCATCATTGCCGCAATGCATCCCGCTATGTGTGAAAATTATAACTGTGTAAAATATTTATTATCGATATTTTGAAAGTGAAGTGACAAGTAACAACACTCCACAGGAGGTATTTTAAACTCATCTGACTGATAATTGGATGCATCACGTCGCGCGTGCCGGGATTTTACAACCTTCTTGATTAGTTGGTTAATATACATTTGTACATCGAGACTTCGGTTACATAATAGAAGTTGCCAGTGAGCTGATAAATAAATAGTAAGATTAACCTCCAATGCATATCTTTCTGTGCTCAATAAAATGTTTAACCTTTTCCAGTATAAAATTCACCAAAAAACGGACCGGTGTTTGACATCATTATTTTACTGTGATCTTTAAAAAGTAAATTTAAAAATTTGGTATGGTCTCTGGTATTATAAAACAAAACTAACGTAATTTCACCGAGAATGGAAAAATCTTTTTTTTTTTTAAGTTTCGCAGTTTTTTCATCAGCTATATCCATATTTACATCGATGCATTATTTTTTGATTGGTCACAACATTCAGTTATTTTTAGATTAGTCGCGGTTGATTGATTATATCAAAGAATACACATCACCGCAACCGGGCCGAGAAAAAGACGTGTCTTATGAAATATTCAAAACATTTGAAGGAAAAACTTTCAAAATATACGTAGTTATTTACGGAAATATTGTTTTTAATAAACTAGTGTTGTTCTATCGTTAATTCAATGGGTCACAGCGGATTCATTTGCCGTTTTTTACACAAGTGAGGCTAAATTTCTTTCACTTAGACCAAGGATTTGTATAGTGAGCTATACAAATCCTTGCTTAGACAAGATAGGATTTTTACAATTATGAAGCGTTATAAATAAATCGGACAGGAATGTATTTAAAAAAAATAGTTAATTGTCATGAAATAAAATGTCAGCTTAGCTTCCAAACAGGTAATTGCCAAATATGTCAGGTAATCTTCATCGACGACTTCTGTAATTAACGCAAATAAATTTTTTTTTATTGTTTCCTGTAAAATCTCTGTGAAGCAATGATGACATTCAAAGTTTTATTTAACAACTTGCTGTTGCTGCTGAAACCATTCTATCAGCAAATTGAGGACACTAGTTAGTGAAAGAATGTAAAGACATGACATTTAGGCAGACAATGAACAAATTAAAGTTGCCAGTCTTGGAACTTTGTATCCTTGTCTGTCTAAATAGCAGCAATGGGTCTTGTTTTGCCAGTTTCAAAAGCTGAATGTGAAAGGTGTTTTTCATGTTTAAACAGAGTTAAAACACCTTTGAGAAACAGACTATGATAATATGTGCTGAATTGGTTAATGCATATATCAATTGAAGGACCAAAGGAGGAAGATTTTGATTTTTGAAAAATGTGTGGGGACCTTTGGAAAGTTGAAACAGAGGAAGATATCAACAAAATAATGTGTACATGACATTTTAAAATTTGTAAATAACATGTGCAGACTGGATTATTTTTATTATTGTTTATAAGGTCTTTCATTAATTCCTCTCATCTGTAATAAATACTTTAAAGTTCCATGACTTACCTATAATAAAACAATTAGATTGGTATATGGCTATATACATATAAATTATGTAGTGTAACTAATTCTGAAAAAGAATCATCGCGCGCCGCGTTGCAATTCCACCATGGACCCACCATGCATGAAAAATTTTCTAGGGAAGACACTGTAACATATCTAATAAATGCTAAAGTTAATAAGCCATCTAAACTAGGTTTCTACAAAAGAATCGTCTACTTTGGTAATGAGCTATTGAAGTCTTATATGAAAAGAAAAATGAGTGTTATGTGGCAAAATATTTTACCCTGTATTGTAGGAAAAAAACCAAGGAGTCTGAACATCTGACAAAAATTCCTAAACCTGACCTAAGTACATCCTTAAGTGCAACAAACGCTAAAATTAACATACCTGCACAAAATTCTGTTGGTACCAGGTTAAACTGGGTCAATGATCCTCCCTACATACAAATAAATATACAAGAACAAGAACATATTTTATTACTAATTAATGGCCCACAAGGGGCATATAGAGAATACATGTATAAGGAAAAAGAACATTGATTTATAGCATAGATACATAGAATTTAAATACACAATCACAATACAATTAGACTGTAATAAAGCCCTTGGTTTATAGTAAATAATATGTTACATAAAAAACAAATAGATGTAACTCATATTGACTTTAATAAATTTTTCAACAGCATAATGGACCTGATTGCCTTCACAGCTTAATAAATAAATAAATTTTTGCTGATTGTCCAGTATAGAAAAGTTTGGAATTTTTTGGCAAACAAAGGCAAAGAGATCACCTCTATCAGAGTTAAATTTTCACATGTCACATGAAGTTAAAAATGGATTTCATCTTCAACAAAGCCAGAGGAGCATTTTTTGCAAATTCTTTCATTTCGTGGAATATTTGAAAAACGACCAAATTCAATTTGAGGGTTGAGCAAATATACATAATTTGCAAACAGCTCTTCTAAAATCAAAGTTCTTAACCAAAGAGAGATAATTTTTATAACCAAAATTTTTTTTGAAGTTTAAATAATAGAACAATTTTCCATCAGAAGCATTTTTTTGGCTAACATACCAATTGTTAATATATTTAGTGTGAATTAATTTGCTAGATATATTCAAAAATTTATATTGTCCAAAATGTTTTACTTCTTGTTTAATTTGAAAAACTTGTAATAATTTTTTAAAAATGAGAACCAAGAAGTTATGTTAAATTTGTGAAGCTCTTGACTGCATTTATAAGCATCTTTCAACAGACTGAATTCAGTGGGAAGATTTTCAAATCTATACCAGTATTTAAAAATTGACTTTACAATATCATAATGTAGGGGGAAACGCCCCAGTTCTGATAATACAGCAAAATTTACACACCTTTTGTGTCCACCAAGTATAAATTGAGAGAACTTGAAATGATGTTTCTCACACTGAAGATTTTTATAAATATTTTCAAGATTAAATAAGGAGGATTGTAATTTATTACAAGAAACATTATAACCTCCCCAAACCTCTGAATTATATAACAGAATGGGTTTAAGGGTATGATCAATAATATGAACACAGGATTTTATTCCAGGAGACAAATTTATAAAATCCTTTTTTAGTTATATATGTATGTTTTTAACTTAATTCTGTATCAAAAAGTTATTACAAATGTCATAAAAAGAGTGACAAATGTCATAAAAAGATGACAAAGGTCATAAAAAGATGTGACAAATGTCATAGAAAGTTGACAATTGTCATAGAAAGATGACAAAGGTCATAAAAAGATGTGACAAATGTCATAAAAAAATGTGAAAAATGTCATACTCACAGAATGGTACATTTAGCTTTTAATTATCTTATTATTAAAGGTGATGATACTGATGTACTAATAAGTTTTACAATTTTGGTACTGTGAATCAGTTAAAAGCTGGAAATAATGGGATGCTTGACAAATATATGTAAAACTTACTTTACTTTTTAGATGTATAAACTGAAGAAAACAGACAGTTTGAAGACTCTCAATAATAACAAGCTATTCTTTTTTAAAACCTATAAACAATTGTTACTGTCTGTTACAAATATATGAAGATTTTGGTACCTACCTGTACATTTGTCAAGTTTACAGTTGTGACTTCACCCAGCTTTATACATGCATTTCCTTTTAACCTAAAACATAAGTATCTTAATTTGTATTGTTATTTGGACATATATATTTGAAGTATATGGCAGATTTTTTATTGCTTCTGATAGATTTATTCACAACTTTTATAGACTCAGGACGATTAAGAGCTTAACATATTGTATGGATCCCTGGTTATTATTGAAGACTGTATGTTTAAACTATGTTGTCTTCTACATGACATTTTGGTTATTTTTGTTGTTTGTTTGCTGTCTCATTGATGTATACCCCTCATCATCTTTTATTCAAAAAGAAACATTGTTTCAACAAATTTCAAAACCCATTTTAATTTATGTAGCAGATATACCAATTTATAAACCATTTAAAACAATGATGGATCAAATTTTAAGCAACAACGGCTCTTTTTACAAAAAATCTTACAAAAATTGATTGTAAGTTATACTGAAATGTTCATGACTTACACAAGTATTTTTTCTAGTAAGATTTTTTGTGACATTAGTCGCAGGTCTTTAACACATTATTCCCTCCATTTTTTTATTTTTTTATTTTCAAGTACAGACTTGAGCTATTGGATCTGTGCATTCAAATTCAGCTGCTAACCAAAACTGATGAAAATTGAACCAATTTAAAGGGTGCAATAGGAATATACTTGTCACTGTAAATGTTTTAAATTCTAATACCACACTAACATTTCATTTACAAGGCTTTTGAAAGGAAAATGTGTTGGCTATGAATTGTGAAAATATAATATTGTACCATGATATTACAAATTTCTGCTAACGTTGTCTTTCAACAATTAACAAGAAAAGATAACAAAAAAATAAAAGTAAATTTATTTAAAAGTTAAATTAACAAAAAGGAAAGTTAAAACAGGGCCATTTAGGTCAATTCTTTTTATCCCTTTTAATGTTTAATTAGCCATATAAGTCACCAAAGTATTTATTTTTATTTAAAGGCCTTTATTCAAAGTTTCTATCATGTGAATAAACCTATAAACGTACTCTGAAACATATTGTAAAGTATGCTGATCTCACAAAATAAGATAGTAAGACTTACTTTTTCTCCTCCTGTGCTCTAAATTCAAGGAAACTATTTATGACTTTTCTCTGTAAAGTAAGTTTGATTTTCAATACATGTAATTCAACTTTTTATCTTCTTCCAAACTAGAGATGAAAAAATCTTAAACCATTATCTAAGGCAGCCTTTTTATCATTGAAAAACAAAAATGCGATAAAAACAAACAAGAATGTGTCCATAGTACACGGATGCCCCACTCACACTCTATCATTTTCTATGTTCAGTGGACCGTGAAATTGGGGTCAAAACTCTAATTTGTCATTAAAATTAGAAAGATCATATCATCATAGGGAACATGTGTACTAAGTTTCAAGTTGATTGGACTTCAACTTCATCAAAAACTACCTTGACCAACAACTTTAACCTGAAGCAGGACAGACAGACGGACAGACGGACGAACGGACGCACAGACCAGAAAATAAATGCCCCTACTACTATCGTAGGTGGGGCATCAAAAATCAAAAGACATGAAGATCACTAACTATGACCTAATTTCAACACATGAACTGCTCTGGTTAAGTTTATTAATTGGATATAGAATATATTGACCACATGCCATAAAATTAACTACATATGACTCTAGACAGTATTGAAAATCCTTGCAAAAGTTTTGTAAATTTAACCATCATGTTACACTTAACTTGGTCTGGAAATTTTTGTGTTCAATTAAGAAGTAAGAAACCTAAAGTCATAAATGAAGCTATTTTGTCAATAATCCATTATCAACGCTACTGAAAAGTAGCGCAAAACTTGAATCACCTAGACCTACATTTTAAACATGAGTTTCTACTCAAGTTTCGTCAAATCTAGAGTTAATCAACACAAAATGTAAAGAAAACTTCATGAGTTTGGTATGTTCGTAATGCTTTTTTGTAATACCTTCATAGAGAACACTCAAACCCCAAAACAAAGCCAAGAATTCATAAATACTTGAATACTTAAAGAGTTATATGAAAAATAGAATAGTCAAATCCACCTAAGGTAAACTAGTTTCTTAATCATATCTAATTTGATCAACAGAGAATTTAAGAAAGGTATATAATAGATCAGGTCAATGTCGAAGCATTTTTACTGAACTGATGATACCATTGAGGATTAGCAGTCAAGGAGCAGTGGTTCATGTATTGACCAAATGCTAGAAACTGATAATTTCTACTAAATCTATAAGTTACTATAAGTCAAAGCTTTCTTACAAACTTTTCTGCAGCATTATCTTCAATAAATCTTGAACCATGACCTGGTTTTCCAGGACAATGGACACGAACCCCTGAAATGAAATATCACAAAAAGATGTGACCTTGATTTTGTAAAAAATGATAAAGCACTCCAAAAATGAAATATAAATCTAGTGACATGACCTGGTTTTCCTGCACATAGACCCCTGGTTATTAGCATAACTCTAGAACTGTAATTTTGCCATCATGATTGATAATGTTGAAAAAGTATAGTCCAAATCATGAAGAAAAGTTAAGCTGAAAAACTTGTTTAAATCATTCTGTGACATTTTTAGTTAAATTTTTTTCAAAACATATATCTGAAAGAAATAAATGAAGCATATAAGTAATGTAATAACCTTCAGTTTGAAATTTTTCATTTGTATGACGTTTAGCCATGACTTTTATGCCCCAAAATCTTTCATGAAGTTTTGTAGACTTTTATTTTATTTCAAATTTATACATTTTTTTTCTAGCTCTAATGTATTCTTTCTTTTTTTAATGCATTAGAATCGGAATAACAGTACTGGAGATGAAGAGTTGCTGCTGTCAATAAGAATTTGACAGTCACAAATATCTGTTATTAAGGAAATGAATAACTTGTTTAACTTACACCAAGGTGCTCTTTCCCCATAGAAAACAGTAAAAGCATTTGTTGGATTTGCCAGACCTAAAATATAGAAAAGTAGTTGTATAGGTAACTACAAATTGAAGAGTATTACAATCTTTAATTCTCTTCAAAAAGATAATTAAAAACCCAGTGTCTTTTGTAATTTCTAGAAACTGCATTAATCTGTATTTTGAATATATATTCATCTACACTTTTGATTTGCTAATGGTACATTGAATTGATATTTTCCATTTATAATTTGTTCATTCTCTATCAGTTTATTCATTATCAATATTCAACTAAACAGGAATCAAACCCAGACCCAAGCTATTCATAATAATAACCCTATAGTTGTTTATAACTAATTATAATAAATCATGATAATTATATTACAATGAATTATCATTATAATCTTTTCATAGCTATTAGGGTTGAAATCTATAACAAACCATTGTTTATCAAAAGAAAACTTAATATCAGTCCTAAAATGTAATACCTTCATCAGGGTTGAAATCTATAACAAACCATTGTTTATCAAAAGAAAACTTAATATCAGTCCTAAAATGCAATACCTTCATCAGGGTTGAAATCTATAACAAACCATTGTTTATCAAAAGAAAACTTAATATCAGTCCTAAAATGTAATACCTTCATCAATAGCACAAGCTACGTTCATTTTCTTAAATTTCTCTGTTTGTACAAATTTCATCATTCCAAGAGCACCACCAATTTCTTCATCTTCAGGTAAAGGAATAAAAAGCAATAAAAATAAGATATAAATAGACTTTAAACAAAGTTTTTCCTTATCTGCAGTCAGTTCATGTATTTCAAGTAATACTAGTTCTAAGCTTGACACATTTTATGGGCATTTATGTAATGATGAGACCAAATGTTGAGACTTAAAAGATTTCTTTTGGGTTTTGTGTTGAATGTTTGCTGTCTCAATGGCATATATGCAACATCTCCTTTTATTAATACTAAAATATGGATAATAATCAATCCAAAAATTTAATCTAGGGAAGGCAGTGTCAGAAAGACCAATTTCGTTGGTTGATTTCCCCCCATAAACAATTAGTCTTATACCAGTTACAAGTAAATGATTTGCATTTAATTAATATTTTTTTATCTATGAAATGAGATCAAATAAAATAAAGAAATTAAACCATGTACTGTTGCACGTGCTTACCTGTCTATTTGTAGGGGATTTTATGTTAACCTGTTTGTTTATATTTATAATTATATCTGGGTCATATGCCCATTGAGAGTTTTAATAGGTCAGGGTCATGTCAATAGTTAATTAGATGGCGTCCAGTCAGGAATACACATTAAATGTTGATACTTTATAACAATTTTAGACATATATATATTGTCTTGTAAACAACTTTTGTAGTTCTGAGTTACATTTTAGTATATTCTTCAAAGTTTATTTTGAAAAATTATATGAAATTAATGGAATAACAGTACTGTAGTTGAAGAGTTGCAGCCGTCATTTGGCGATTTGACAGTAGCAAATGCAGTTTTACTGGCAACATGAAGCTGCGTCAGTAAAACTGATATTTGCAACCATCAAATCCCAATTGACTGAAAATTGATTTTAAAATGGCTTCTGAAGATTCCGTGATTGGTATAAAATAAGTGGAGATATGATGACTTTTTTCCATATGCTATAATTTTTTTTTTAACTAACCTGGTACAAATGTTAAATAAATAGTTCTCAATGGTTGTATTCCTTTAGCCTTCATTCTCCTTACAGCTTCCATGTATCTTTAAATATAAATGTTTTCTTCAAAAATGTATGCTGTTCAAATAATCTTAAGCTGCAACAAGTTCACTGTCCCTTGGTTAAAAATGATTCTTCTACAAGTTGACCAGTAACATTGACTATTTTATATACAGAACCTAGTTTATGAAACAATCCTTTTGAAACATATTCAGACCTATTTTCCAAAAAACATCCTTTCAAAACAAGTGCATTGTGTGTTAAATGGTGTTTACACAATCATAATTTATCTTAGGGTAAAATTGTGTTTAGAGTGACCTTTATTATAGGGAAAGTAAAATAACAAAAATACCGAACTCCAAGGCAAATTCAAAATGGAAAGTCCCTGAACAAATGGCAAATTCAAAAGCTCAAACACATCAAACAAATGGAAAACAACTGTCATATTCGTGACTTGGTAGTTGGTACAGGCATTATGTTATGTAGAAAATGGTGGATTTTCCAAAATACAGTTGCAAAAAATTTGTTGAAAATAGCTACTCATTTGAGGGATCTAACAAAACCAATAAAACATAATGATTAAATAAAGGGATCTTTCAGAATTCTACCTGGGTTAATCTCACATAACATGTATTTAAATACAGGAGCTCCAAGGTCTTGTAGAAGTATGTGAGGGAAGCTGCTTATAAGGGTGTGTCTCTCAAAAAAGGATAACTAATCACTGAGGTCGTACTTACAGGCATCCATTCGATTTCATGTCCTACAAAGCATTAAAAAAACCAATTAAAATAATAATTCAGAGCTATTTGACCACAAATGGGATCCAATAATAAAATAAATATGAAAAAAATTATTAAGGATTAAGTATTATATCTCTCTTCCGGTCCTGCCAATGCTATGCATTATAGAAAACACAATGCATAATAAATAATTGATATTTGCAAGTATTCAAATACAATATAGACATTCTTTTTAAGATAAACATAAAATATAAAAGGGGTTATTTTCTTACAAATCCTTCATTTTTTTGTAATTACTGGAAAAAGTCTGAATCCCTTTGAGCAGTAACAGGCTTTAGCGATCTGTAAATAATGATACTGACCAACTATCTAGTGAATGCATTTGGAAGCAAACATAGCAAAAACAATAAAGAGCAGTGCCATGAGCGCATGATACGCCCATTGCTTTTTCAACGAATAAAGTTCCATAACTCCTCAATGTCATATAAGAAATTTATAAAAAAAAAAATAAAGGGAGCTTATTCTAATAGTTTTAAGCCAGTCAATAAGGTTTCATGAAAACTGCTAAAAGCATTTTTGAGTTATTGTCTGAAAACTGGAAAATCCCCCTTTTTTATGAATAAAATCCCACAACTCTGAAATGTAAAATCTAAAATTTATAAAAATCTAAAGGGAGCTTACATCAATAGATATAAACAATTCATTAAAGTTTCTTGAAAATTGGTTTAAGCCTTTTTGAGTTCCAATATGTTGACGATGGATGGACGAACAGACAGACAGACAGACAGACAGACGGATGGACAACAGTATACCATAATACATCCCGTAAACCCGCATATAAAAATGAGACCACAAATATCATAACAAAAACTTTCCGCTGAAGTACAGAAATATCACATAATTCAGGCATATATATAAGACAAAACCTGTCAATAGACTCCTTACCTGTGTTCCTCTTCCATAGATGTCTCCATTTTCCATCTTTACTCCATCCCATGGATCACATTTCCAATGTTCCTATATATATACATATTTATACTAGTCTTTAATTATGTTCCTATATATGTACATATTTATACTAGTCTTTTATTATAACTACATATTTTAACAATATTTTATTGTAAATGAATATTTTTACATTATTGTATAGCAACATGATATAGAATGAAACCAAAGTGAAGTTTGTACTTTCTACAGTATTGCATGCAGTTTGAAAAATGCTTGAGTATACAACCTTGTGATTTAGGTAACCATAGTGTTTTTACACTCTCACTAGTTTTGCCAAACAATAAAAGATTATTGTAACCAACTTTTTAATTTACACAATTTATACTCAAGTTATATCAAATACTATCAAAACATTTGCCTGGTATCTTCTATCTATTAGAACTTGTCCATGATATTTAAGTCTGAAGCTTCCTTGGCAGAAATTAGTTCATTTCCACTAAAAGATATTATGTATTTTTAAAACAAAAAAAAGAGTGAACATTGTGATAAACTGATAGGCAATGTTGTTTGGTCTATTCCCTTACTGTTGTGGAGGGTGATGAAACTATATTCTAACTCGATTCATAGTTTATGCTACCTGTTACTCAAATTTGAAAGACAGTATAACAAATATCCACGGTTTGTCATAAAAAAGGCACCCTTATTGTGTAATTCATTTCCATTGCATATCTCGAGAGATAAGTGAGAATGATATGTAATCCTTTGGAAAAAATATTTTTACCTCAAACACAGGAACAACATCAGTATGTGAATTCAGTACAACTGATGGTAGTGAGGGGTCTCTTCCTTCCCATGTCATTATACATACAATTCTTTCAGGGTGTACCTGTAAAGGAGTTAAAAGAAATTAAAATATGCACCCAAGTTCAGTAAACCAACAATCTGGGTCAAAACCTGAATTTGTCATACGTTCACATCATAAGGAACATTTTTACTTTCAAGTTAATGTGACCCCAACTTTATGGTAAACTAACCATCTAGGTCAAACCCCAAGTTTACATATATTGTACAAAGTTCATATTATAAAAAACATGTGTACTAAGTTTTAAATTGATTTGACCACAACTTTATGGTATACTTCATATAACCAAAACTTAAACCTGATACTTGACAGATGTATAGACTTGAAAATAAATTTCCCCTACAAATATAGGCAAGAGCATAACAAAAGTTGACCCGCACACATATGTCTAACCAGTTAAGTGACAATGTTGTGAAGAAAGAGGCTGAGCTGTACCAATTGTATACAACTGCAGCATGTTGTCAGGTAAAGTTCAACATATAAATATCAAAAGTCATTATAAATATGCTATTAATTTTGATAAAGAAATGTATATAATACAGTAATATTTTTGAAACAGTAATTACCTTTTCAAAAATATTGAAATTTTTGAAATCCTTTGTCTACCTTTATATAAAAAATATATACAGTGATACAAAGATAAAATGCATAAAAAATGAAAATCTAATATACATCTGATTTTGTCAATTTTGAAACTTTTGTGTGAGACAAGGATCCCAATTTCAAAGGATGGTAAATGGGGTCTTGCTAATGAAAATGGTTTTTTAGATGAAACATATTAAAAAATACTTGCAAATTGATTGGCTTAAATTGATGTTAGCACTTGTTAAATTGTCTATATTGAATTTCATGTAAATCTGGAATAGGAATGGACATTTCAAACAAAAATTTCAATACTACAAAGAAGCAGTAAATTATCAAGAAAATATGGACATCATTAACAGTAGAAATAAGATCTTATTCAATAACTAAAATAAAGTGACTAACAGTAAAGTATATTTTGCATGGTAAAGGCCAAAATAAATTTGTTTACAGTTTTATCCACCTCATAACCCTTTATCCAGAAACAATTTCAGAATATGAATATACCTTTCTTAAAGTGAAATCTAGGAATTAGATGAGTGGGCATTTTGTTTCACAGGCAGCATTAAATGAGGAATAGGTGAGTTCATTTTTTTTCCTGTCAAACTTTATGTCCATTTCAAAGTAAGATGGTCTAAAAAATAGGCCTTAAAATTATTGTGTTTGCCTTACAATGTAATGTACTGGTTAACAATTGCATTCATACAAATATCAAAATGCAGATTTATTTGATATTTAAAGATGATCATGAATTTATTTGGATGAAAGGTGTGACTATAGTCTCTTTACTACATTAACTGATGGCATGACTCTGAATTAATTAGAAGTACATGGATTAGTTTACTTTTCCAACTTGTCTGCAGTGGTATGACTAGTCATAATAAAAGTCAATCATTCATTTATAACTTTTCATTCAGTTATAAAAGCATTTGCATTGTTTTTCTCTCCCATTTACTGCGTGAACCCTTGAGGGGTTCATGCATATATATTGGCGAGTTTTGGAAGTGTCTATGGGCCACTCGATATCCTCGGAATCACAATTCTCGGAACGTCTCGAAAATTTTCCATCATTTATATAGGTAGTTATTTATGTCTTTGATACGGTCCCTCTATGGATAGGCTACAACGTGACATTGTATATTTCGACAATCCGACAAACGGTTCATTTGTAGATTTGAAAGTAAAACAATAAAGACTAGGTTGCATTCTAAAAATCATTTATATGTTAGAACCTATTTGCCTTTTGACAAAACATATATGTTTTTAATAATGTGAATGTTTATTAAATATCAAGTATAATGATAACGCAATTATATAATTCATGCTTTGAGACGGTCCCTCTATGCATTTAGTGTGTTGTATTTAATAAACCTGGGAATAGTTTATTGATATACAATGACCCAGAATAAACTGATTATTTCTGAATGTTTGTCATTTGATATTTAGTATTTCAATCATAGCATGAGAAAATGTCTGAAAGAATGAAAAAAATTAAGAAAACGATATTTCTGTTAAAAATATTTATCTAAGGTCGGAAACACAGTGGTCGGAAAGCAGAAAGATAATCAAACAAAAGGATTTTTCTGTAAAAAAATATCTAATTTAATTAATAGATATTACCAGACTAAGAGAATATTCATTGTTAAGGTAAAACTGAGACTGAATTTATTCCTAATAATTATAGAATATAATTAAAATTGTAATGTATACATGCATTATGTCTCACAGGTTTGATCAGTCATTACATTTATGAAAATTATATGTAATGTATGAGCACCAATGAGCAGGGATGGGTACCTAAAGTTAGCTAAATATCTAAATTTTAAACGGTTGTGAATGAAAAAATACTTGCGTGGTTTCAATTCACAAGGATTTTAAATCCTTGCATCTCACAAAAAAAGTAATTAATATTTTACAATAAACATAACAAAATTTAATAACTATCATAATGTTAATTATTTTTTTTTATTTTTTTTAATTTTATTAGTTCAACCTTATAGCATCTGAATATTTGTACTATGGTACGGTTTTGAAAATTGTATTCATTGTGTTGGTCAGCTATCCTACACATCTTGATTCATTCACATTATACATCACCCTGTTCACACGCACACTATGGGTTTGCGTTCACAAAAATTCCAGATAAAATGTCAATGAATCTGGAGTCAAAACACTTGAGGTAGGTTGTTTGACATCCAAATTCAACTATTAGATTAATATAATATGTGATGATGCAAATGCGTGTTCTTATCCAGAGTATCAGTGTGTATGCTTTCTATTTACTATTTCTTGCGCAAAAATACCACGTTCACGCATAAATATTTATTTCACTCGCGAATGCGAATTTTCGCTTTTCTTATCTAAATTCAGGACACGGCAATAAGAGCTTGCCATGTGACTTTCAAGCACGGTCATCAATGCTTACGGTATTCTGACCTCTAGCTGTTTCTCTTTTGTTTTCTTTTTTGAGTCACTGTCCTTACGAAACCTTCATATAAGTTGCATGCCACAGGGTTTCACTTCACATGGAAAATGGACTTAAAATTTATCTGTACACATCTACCATTACAGACAACTTCAATAACGAGTTGAGAATATGAAGGCATCCATGCAGGAAAAAAAATATAAAGATGTGATAGATAAAATAAATGCATCCAGATTATAAAGCAAACTGAGTGCTTAAATTTATATTGTGATTGGTTTGTGCAATTTGCATTATACATCCGGTTAAAAGAAACTGGGATTTGCAATAGGATTATAAAAAAATGATGTACAATCCCAAGTAATAAATGAAATAGTCGAGCTTTAAAATGTATATTCAAATAAAAGCTGTATATACACTTTTCTATTCACACCTATCCAACATTGCTTTCAACTGACTTGTGCAAGAATGTACACACTATTACAAATTTTTAATAAAGGTAGTTTAACTTCATCATTATCTCCTTCTATTCACAGTCAATTATTTCAATTCAAAAGCAAACAAAAATTCAGCAACAATCTTTTGGTGACCAGTCAGCGGTCTTAGGTTCACGTGTTGCTTTTCTTTTTTTAAAGAAAACAACTTGTTTTTATCAGGGATGGAAGATAACTTGTATATAAATATCAATGTTCTAATGGTTCAGAAACTTTTGTGTGCATTTATTTATTGCAATAATAATGAACTCAGCAAAAAATCACAATTTACAGTATTTTCACTAACAATTTTAATTATTCATTTAATACATCAACATGATCAATATCCATAAAAAAAATCCTCTAAAATGTATGTCTGCATGGTGTAATCAAGCATTGTTATCATGGTTGTCATTTTCATGCCATTATCACATAAATAGCAAAGGACATCAAAGAAATTTGACATCATAGGGCAGGCATAAATGATATAAAATAAATGGGGAATGTGTTCATGGGACACAGATGATGCCCCCGCTTGCATATCATATAAAGTTATAAAGGGACATAACTGAAGAACGGTAAAAGTGACGCTACCCAAATTTGTTATTGATCTGAGTTTTGTAGTAATAAGTTTTGTGTAAAGGTTTCATAACATTTGGTTTAAGTTAAGTTTGAGAACGAAAACAAAAAATTCAGCAATTTTTCCATTTGTAAAGGGGCATAACTCTAGAACAGTAAAAGTGACACCACCAAAAATCAAACTTGATCTGTGTTTTGTGGTAATAAGCATTGTGTATAGGTTTCATAACATTTGGTTGAGGCAAACTAAAGTTAGAGAACGGACAAGGGTAAACCTTAATGCCCCCTCCGCTACGGCGGGGGCATAAAAAAGTAATACCTGAACTGTTTCAAATGGCAGACCAATGTCCTTTGCTTGATCTTTAAGAAACTTGATAACTCCATCTAAATAAAACAAATTACAAATAAATTTAATTATTAATGCGGTGTATAAAATTCTTTTAAAAACATGTGTTTGAAAAGTTAGAACCACTATTTTGTTATTTGTTATTACAAAAATGAATGGAAAAAGTCACAGTTCTTAAAGTAGTAAATACTATAGTATATAGAAATTATTGAAACAGCTTCAACATATGAATACATAAAATATTTAAATTACATAGCATGTATCACCATTTGATTAAATAAAATTAATTTAGATGCATTTTATATTTAAAAAAAAAATAAAAACTTACACGTTTTTTTTCCTTAGACTAATGACAATCAATATAGTTCATTACAATTGTTAATTTTTTTTTTGTACACGAGGGGAACTTCTCAAACATCTTTACCAACTTAGTTCCTTTTTGACAACTTCTGTAGGAAAGGCAAAAGATATGGCAGTTCCGTGATATGGTAGTTAGTTATAAAAATCTGTCATTTTGTCAGTTTGTATTTTGAGATAAACACATATTTGGGAATCTGGGACACTTGACCCAAGATTTTGCGACACTTGGACATCAATCCACAATCAATTTGCTTAATAAGTATAGTGAGAAATCCTTGATAAGCAATATAAATATGCAAACATACCATAATCTGGAGTTGGGTGGACCGATTTTATACGTAAATACTGTCTAAATCTTGTGACAGCTGGATCTTCTTGCTTGTTACTTTCTGGCATTTTTTCTGATGTATATACTTTCCTTGCAACAATGCTAGTGTGATTCTTAACGTTCCTCCTAACTTAGGAAAAACGGAATGAAAACACCTGTGTGGGTCAAGATTCGGGACGTAACTTTTAGCTGTCCGAGGTGTTCCGAATAAAACAAAATGTCTGCGCCCATGAACACGATCACTTCATAAACTTTATTGATTGGTTTTAACTATTTAAGGTGCGCTTTGATAAAGCCAACAGGTGAAATAATTATGTAGAAAGGAAACTTAATGTAGTCCTGCAATTTTTCAAAAGCAAATAATTTCAACATATCAAGGAAATATGCAACAAAGCAAATTCATACATTAATCAATTTATTTTTTGAAGATTGAGGTTCATCATAACAAATAGACAAACATGATTGTGTTAACACACCTCTAAAATTACTGTCCGAGTACAGACAAAATTGAGCATCTGGAAAAGTTTTAAAAACTAGCAGCACTTAGACTGTATTTTTATGTTGAAGAAAGTAAACTTTTTATGGTCCTTAATTCAGAAGGTGTGAACAGTGGGATATCCAGTGAACGAAAAAACAAAAGAAAATTAACTCTTCTTATGATAGATTCGAGAAAGTCAATAATAAAACAATACCGGTGACGACAATGATAAAAATTTAAATTAAGTTACTAAGCAAAATCAAACAGACCTAACATTAAATGTGAATAGATCGAGAAGACCGCAAATACTTGTACAAAACTCGAGACGACCTTTTCTTAAAAGTGTTTACAAAATAGTAGAAAGATACATGTACCTTCTTTATTCTTAAATTTTTTAACCTGCACAGACAGACTTTTAAATGTTTATATTCTGACACGAAAAACAATAGTTCTCTATTGAATATACATGTGACAAGAGCAGTAATAATTGTACATTTTAAAGAAATTATTTGTTAAACTGTTATTAGAAATATACATGCAAATACACGATGTTTTATGTTCAGTATTTATCGAGATAATTGCTTAAGAAGCATGCGAAATTGAAATTTAAAAACTGCCAATCTTTGCTGCATATTGATAAAAAAAATCAAAAAGATCTTTTAAGTCATCAATTTTCTGAGTGTTCCAAAAAGTCCTTAGTATGTTACAATTTCCCAAAGTATGCTGATTTTTTTCACACCTAATTTATCGGGCACACCCGTCTGCTCTTGTCACATGTATATTCAATAGAGAACTATTGTTTTTCGTGTGAGAATATAAACATTTAAAAGTCTGTCTATGCAGGTTAAAGAATTTAAGATAACTCTTTTTATAAAGTAGGTATCTTTCTACTATTTTGTAAACACTTTTAAGAAAAGGTCGTCTCGAGTTTTGTACAAGTATTTGGGTCTTCTGGATCTATTCACTTTCAATGTTAGGTCTGTTTGATTTTGCTTAGTAACTTAATTTAAAAAGTGCCAATGTTTGCTGCATATCAATCTATTCAGAATTTTTTCTCTGACTTTCTCTGATCTAGCTGTATATATATATTCAAGAGTCTATCCCAAATTGAGGTAAATTGTATGGCTTTCCAAATACCGTTTCGATTCCTAACATCACTGAAGAGACATTAATTGTCGAAATCTGGATATGGTGTACAAAAACCTATGCACCTTTTGTTTGCGGTATACCGTCTTTTCCGCAAGTTTATTGTTTTCTGTTTAGTATTTAATTTATAATTAAGATCCATTTATTACATCGGTGATCCGTTTATTTGGCAATCGCCAATGGCAGTCAGCAGGGTTTAAGAACATTTGTTGTTCGACCTGTTAGTCAAATGCGTTTTGTTAAAATATACTTTTTCAATTTTTTGGTCTTTTGGAAAATGTTGTTTGTGCTGTATTTAGACCCCTCTAACAAGAAATTTGTTTTGCATGCACACGTATAAAAATTGCGGTTTTTATCCAACGCAATCATAGGTTTGAACGTTGTTTTCAATTTAGACTTGTTTATATATATATATATATATATATGAATAATTAGCATGTTCCAGAGAAGTATACAGACAGTAAAAAAATAAATTGAAGTTGGTGCTCCAGGAATTTGTTCACATAGCAACATTTTAAACCAATTTTACTCCAAGCACCTATAGCCTGCTGTACTTGTCGTTGGCTACTTAAGGAGGAAAATGATAACATTGAGTGGAACTTTTGTTTTTATTTCAATTTATTTCCATTTTTACCATTTACCAGAACGTTTTTCTGTGAATCCATAATTGATAGCGTCCATGCTAAAATGGGACAAACATTGAGAAGATCTAGTTTTCAGTGTTTACAGGGGAGGTAATATTTTGTCACTAGATTTCCCACTGTGAACTAAACTAACTAGGGTGGAACTTGAGATGCCCTTTTGGGTAACAGTATTGTTTTCTGAACAATAGATAGGTTTTGTTTGACACAATTTGAGGATGAGTTACTTACCTTTTGTCACCATGTTGGAGGATTCTAAGTGACCAATTTCCTTCTTAAATCATCTAAATTAAACTTGTTATACTGACCGTTAGACTTTAAAAAATGTGTTTTCTGGACAACCTTAATTTATTTTAGTCTTTATTGATTCATCACTACAATCTAGTAAGGATTTTTTGTCAGACTTGTTTGCACCGCATATTTGAATTTGGTTAGTCAAATAGGAAAATCAACCATTTACCCCTCCAAAATGGTGCTTAAGGGAAATAACTCAAACTCAAATTACGTCATATTGAAACCTATCTATAGATATGTGCACAACAATTAAATATGATTTAAATAGTATACCACAGCATTGCTGAGAATGAAATATAATTTAGCTGTTTGTTTATTTTGCCATCTTCTCACACTCTATTATATTTTACCAGCTATCGGTTCTGCAGGTGTATTAGGTGACACAGATCAAAATGTGTTGTACACTATTGCAAAATCCATTGTGTTGCAATGGCTATACAAAATTCCGTCTAAATTTGCTGTTATGCCTGAACATGATAGCAAAAACAATTGTTTTAGTAGCAATTCAGAACACAGATCCTATTGTATTTGCCATCCCGATAGCCAGTAATAGGGTGTGCATCTGCTATGGTGAAGAGAAATAAAAATGGAACTCATAATCTAAAAGAATTTTTTTTTTCCTGAAACACACACATGACAAAGTGAATTTCATTTTAATATATGTCATCTATGTGCCACTAGACCCTTAAAATTTTCCAGCTGCACAGGTTTGTCTGCACTCTGAGTAATCTTTTTATGAGTTAGGTCAAACCAAAGACTTGAAAATTGGTATTTACTGCTTCTCCACTAACATCATGGCATTTAGGAATAACAAGAAAGACTGGTAGACTTTGAGGCAGAATAATGTGTCCTGATAGGATGGCATGTCTACCTGCAGACTGTTTTGTTACCTTCTAAACTACTGTAAATCGGGAAATTTTCGTGATTTATTAACAAAATCTAGATTCACACCGTTTTGAATTCACGATGTCTCGGAGTCCTATATAATTTTTTTTTATAAATAATTTGGAAACTGTACAGTTTTAATCAATATATGTATTAAGATCAAGTGATCAAATCAATCAGAAATCTTTTTGTCAGGTCGGATTTAAAATTATTAGTCGTGTTTGCTTGTAAAGAGAGGAATGACCTAATTAAGAATGAATTACATGCTGACAGAATATCTGCTAATTAGTTAATCTTTTGATCTGATTAATCTGTGCAGCAGATACAATGGGTAATCATTTTAAAACTGATTGACAGGTGTTACTTATATAGCTATAAGATAGTTGTTTATTTAGCAATACCCGTAATGTATGTGTAAGACTATCATGAGATAACGTTTTGATTTCTAACATTGACTTTCCTTTAGAAATAAAGTTATATTTTGCGGCATAGATCTGTTGTCTGTAAAACCGATGTTTTAAATTAGTCATCTACATATCCTATTAACATAGAGTAATGTATGGTCTTCCTGTTTGTGTTTGGATTTCCTTGAAATAGTTGCGGTCATTTTTTTTTTCGCGTTTCAACTCTTCCCACGAAAATAAAACTGTGCGAAAATTTCCCTGTTTACAGTATTTAGTTTAGAATCAGACTTAAGAGTGTCTGTCTAGTACTAACTAGGGTTCATTCTCATATCACAATCACATGTTCTTGTTCTGATATGCATGTATTGGATGTTAAACAAAAATCTATCATTACCATCTTATTTCTGTTATTTATATTAAAATCATTCAAAGATAAAAATGATTTCTATGCAAAGTATCAGTTAAATGTGTTTATGTGTCAACATTTTATATATGGAATATGTCAACAGTTTGAATTCTACTATTTTTTTCTTCGTAATAAAAACAATTCAAAATCATAGTATCATAGTATCATACAGTAAACAACTTTAAAAAGACTGAAAGGTTCATCATCAGTACCCTATAATGAGAAAAAAGAAAAGATTGGACACTTTGTCTAAAGGAAAAATATGCATTCACAAAAGCTGCAAAAAATGAAATCTTTATTTTGTAGCGCTCTAAAACCCCATGGAAATTTCAAAATATGCCATTATTATATAAAAATCATGAAAATTTCTAATTTGTTGCATTTTTCCAAGTACCCAATATATTTGCTTTCAGTAACATAAAGCACATTTGAGAAACAACAAAATGATTAAGAGAAATAATAGTATTTACATATAATTGATAAGTTTTATTAGCAAAAAGTTCAGGTTTTGCCAATCAAACCTAAAAAAGACAAGATAGGACAGCGATTCATATTGCCATTCAAAAACAGTGTTCAAATATCAATATGATGATAGAAAAATATACATAATTAAAGTTATATTCCAAATCATTATTTATAACACATGTTCTGAAAGTGTTACTGCATCTGGCAAATTTGAGATGACATAATTTCTGTTTTATCAAAACTAGCTGCTATTTTTAGAGCATGAGAAAAGATAAAACTAATTATTTATTACTTCTATGTGAATTTGAAATAGTCGTTTTCAAATCTTTGTGGCTGACACCCCTCTATTTTGAGAAGACTGTATCTAATACACATTATTCTGATTTTATATATAGATTTATATAATTTGATTTTGTAGTTAGTCAAGGGAGACCATCTGCATGTATCAATTCTTCTTGA